TTATTAACTTTTTCAGTGATTAGAAAATTAAAATACACCCTCTGACATAAAAACAATCTCCAAACCTAGACATACTTGTATCAAGGTCTGGTCACACTCTCCACAAAGTCGAACCGGTCGAATCTGGTGAAACGTTTCAAGGTTTCGAACCCCAAAAGTTCGACGACCTAGAAATCTGGTTCGACAAAAGTTCGCGACACCCCTAGTCCCCGCTCCGCGAATGCAGCCACCAAACAACCATCTTGCATGCCGTTATTTATTTATTTTTTTATTTTTTTTTCTTAGTAGCATTGCAGGGGCCGGCGGCAGCGTTCTAAAGACAGATTTTCTACTCGTTCGTCGTCATTCGCCGAAGACGTTTTTTAAGATTAGGGGTGTCGCCAACCGGCGGAGGTTCAAGTTCGACGAACCTTGTATTGAGGTTCGACCCGTGTGCGCATGTGCGACAGGCTGGCCAGTTGGCTTCAAATTGGTTGATGATGGCTAAGGCATGAATTAAGGGCAGCGCTGATTATTTATTTCAGTTAATACAGTACAAAAAATTAGCTTATAAGCTTCTTCAGTGATTAGAATTAGTTTCTTTTAATTGCAGCTGTTCACAAAATTAAAATAGCCATTTGCATAAAAAAATTCTCCAAATGTAGATATGCTTGTATCAAGGTCTGGCCGCACTGTCCACAAAGTCTAACCGGTCGGTTCTGGTGAAAAGGTCCCCGAAATTTCGACCTGAAAATCTGGTTCGACAAAACTTCGTGACACCCCTACTAGAGTGTACTAGAAGGAACGAGTGGGGCCACCGAAGTGCTATTTAGGTACCTCCGCATGTGGAAAAAACAGGGTAATCCAAGCCACTGCGCTCGTAGTGCCCTCCCGAAAGCTACGAGCGAAGTGGTTTAGATTAGCCGTTTTTTATGAAAAACGCATTTCGTTCCAAACCCAAGCTCGACCGGCACACTGATCAAGGTCATAGAAACAATAGAACACAGTACTATATTTTTTATACAACCTAGACATTAGTCGTCACGTATATAAAGTCACCGCGACCCAACTTGTTGTCACGTTGACAGCGTACGTTACACGACATCAAGACCGACCACGTCAGCGTTGACGTTGATGACGACGTCACGGGACGTGAAGATGGCAGCATCCTTGTCAATGCGAAGTCATAAGGGCGCTTGGTTCAGTTCGTCAACGTCGTTGTCGACATGACGCAACTCGACTTCACGAAGATGTCCCGGAGACTTCAGGACATTGACGTTGACGTCAGCGTCGACGACGTTACACGCCGTCAAGACTTCGTCGTGACTGCGGGTCGACGTTGATGCTGGCGAAGGTGACGACGTTACACGCCGTCAAGGCTTCGTTGTGACGTTAACGACGATGTCAGGATGACGTTACCGTGACGTCATAGCAATGTTTGACATTGCGTGGGATGCCGACGTCAGCGTCGGCATCGACGACCACGTCCACGTCGTCCTCGACGCGGCGCACGACGTCATGACCGCTTTGCAACGGCAACTTGATGTCGCGTAACCACGTCATACTCAACGCGATGCGATGTCACGACTGCGTCACAACGGTGACTTGATGTCGCGTAATGGCGTCCTCAACGCAATGTCACGACTGCGTTACAATGGCGGCTTAATAGGGAATTGTAGTAGAGCGTTTCCGCAGCCCGCTAAGCACCCGGATAGCGCTCCGTAATCCGCCACAAGACCTTGAACTGCAGACAAGGCTGGCGGCGCGCATGCGCAGCTGTGGCGTTTTCTTCACGGATACCGTAGCGGAGGAGAAAAACGATCTACTACAACTCCCTAATGTCGCGATACGGCGTCGTCTTCGACGTGACAGGATGTCACGACGGCCTTACAACAGCATCTTGGCATCGCGTAACGTCGTCGTGTCGTGGTGCTTTGACGTTACCTCCGACGTCAAAATCATAAAAAACGACACAGGTCAAGATCAAATAAGCAATATAGCCCCTTAGGGGCTCTATTGCTTATATGATCTTGACCTGTGTCATTGCTTGATCGCACGCAGCAAAGGTGGCGCTGCGATCGAAGTGGCTTGGTTCCGCCTGATCGCTTTCCACATTTTGAGGTGCAACTGAAAGCATGAGCGGAGCCTGTAGCTCCGTCCCACTCACTTTCTAGTACACTCTACCCTTACCCCTATTTAAAGGGGCCATGAAACAAATTTCGGGTTGTGATGAATGATGTAGCGCGTTCCATGTTGTAGACGGAAAAGATGGTGCGACCGACTCCGAGCTGAGGTGAAAACGTTCTGTTTATTCTCTCGTGCCACCGGGCTCGTATCGACGAGTAACGTCGTCGTCTTTTATCTGCTGCTTGGTAGGCCAGTGGACCGCCACAAATGATTTTAAATTGGGACTTTACTAATCGCATATCGTTTAGTTGGCCAAAAGAAAGAGGCTAGAAAGTCAACAGCCAGCTTTTCGGTACGAACATTTGAAAATATAGCGGACTATTTTGTACCTTCTTGCCTTCAAAAGCTCTCCACCTTTTCACTATGATACATCCGCGGTTCCAAAAGCGCGTCACCGGCGCCAAACTGACGTCAGCAGAGCTCAGCTCACGCATTGGACACGAGAACTGCGTCACTCGGACGTATGCGCTCGTCAACAATCAATCCGTCGACGAATATTTGGATTCGCGCTCGTGGCCAATGAGTGCCCTGACGGAACTTATTGTCACTGGGGAATGACAAGTTCTATGGTGTGCATAAAAAGCACGGTGGAACCTAGGAGTCATCGCACCGGTGCCGAAGGAATGTCACGACGACGTGATTTCGCAATTCGCATTTGAGTTGAGGATTAAAGCTAAGGAGGAAGAAGTAGGAAAATCGTTTCATGACCCCTTTAAGATCCTGTGTGAGGCCTTTAGTGTGGCCAGGCCTTGATACAAGCATGTCTAGGTTTGAAGATTTTTTTTTATGCAAAAATTTTTATTTTATGTTAAAATGTTAAATTAAAAGAAACTAATTCTAATCACTGAAGTTAATAACTTTATTTCGTGTAGTCTTAAAGGGAAGCTACGGAGCTTCTTGGAAAAAATGAGTTAGAAGTGAATTCTAGTGTATTTTTACCCCGTGAACCCGAATACCCAAACCATTTGCTGCGTAAGTATTGGTAAACGCGAGAAAAACGCGAAAGACAGTCGCTGTCCGTGACGTCATCGACGGCTCTTTTGGCTGCCCAAGGCTAGGGGGGCGGGGCTTCAGCCCTATTTTGAAATTGCTCTTGTGGCTCTCCGGCGCGTCGCATTGAAATATAATTTTGATATCTGTTATTCTAAAGGCCAAATGAACGCAATTCATGCGTTTTTTCTCAAATGTAGAAGTGCCCCATCTTCCCTTTAATTGAAATAACCAATCAGTGCTGCCCTTAATTCATCCCTTAGCCATCACCATCCAATCCGAAGTCAACTGGCCAGCCTGTCGCACATGCGCATGGCAGTCGAACCAGAGTCGAACCCGAGTCAACCTTTTCACAAGAAGTTCAAAAAAGCCGAACCTGGTCGAATGCGAACTCGACCAGTTCGCGACATTACTAATAGTAACACCTCCCACAGTGCGGGAGGTGTTACTATTAGGCACCAGTTGCTACTAGGCACCAGGTGCAGACTATGCTCCGGGTGCGAATACACACCAGGTGAGGACTAACCAAGTAAAATCTTTTCTTTTTTCAATTAAAATGTGAACCTGCGGACCATACACAAACTCAGCTCCGTTACGTCACTGCGCGGTGGTGGTGCGTTGAGCGTCTGGAGCTGTGGGCAAAAGTCACCATGTGGGACGTGCATTCCTGCATTGTTTTGAAAGAAACTAGACGAAAACCTGCCTTCTCGTCAAAACACCGTGACTGAGGCTGTACCAAAAGAGTCTAGAAAGGTTTGAAGGTCAGCTATCATGTGCTCGGTTTGTCCGGGAACGTGGATGTGCTGTGAAAAGGGAAAACTAGATGCCATCGGACCACGAGTGCTTGGGCGGGAAGCACTTTGGAGTTAATTCATGGAACCTCGTAGTCATCAGATTTATTTGTGTTGTTCCAACATGAATGCGGGAAAACCGTCAAGCTGTACGGACCACCTGCAGACTACATTCACTGTGTCTTTAAATTCAAACGGCCGCCTAATCGTTCAAACTGTTGCCTGTTCTTTCAAACGTTTCTGCTTGTCGTCTGAAAGAGCAGACGACACCGCCTCGCAGACTAAACGTTGGCCCGATAATTGCGATAAGAAGTGCAGGCCTCAAAAGCCTTTTAAGTTTGAAGGTTGGTTGGGGTAAGCAGGCTCGGTGTAAACAGCAGATACAAGGAGATGTTGATCATTGTTACTAGTGGCCATCATTAACTTGTTATGCCTGATTAACTTGGTCCGATTCTGCTTGCGATATACAGTATCGACGTCGACCATCTCAGCTCTGTTTTACACTTTTGCAGCCCGAGCGACATCATGACTAAACATTGCAAGCGGAATCTCATCATGCGAATCATTTTAGAGTCCATTCTGCAGCTTTCACGAAGAATGAAACGGCACACGTCACATTATTCATGCAATGTTTTGTGGTGCAACGAGCCTCAGTAATTTCGGTAAGGCCGCTCAAGTAGTCGGACATCGCCAGGAAGATGTAGAATCAACAATTCTAACGCGAAAAAGAGCATGGGGACAATCACCGATGCCAACAACATTGCATTTCAATGGTTTGCTTATGGGCGACAGCAAGCTTCTTGCCCACACTCCATCGTACAAGCGCGGCGCCAGTGGCGTCTGCTAGGGGCGCTCCAGTTTGTTTGTAAATATGAGTTGGTCTATACACCAGGTGCAGGCTGTAGTCTTGAAAATGCAGTAGTCTAAAAATGAAACAATTGATTGTGCTGTTGACTGGCTAAACTACCCGCTGTCAGCTAAATTAGTGGGCTCTAGTGAGTCGGTGCATAAGGAATCTGAATGAAATTACATTAAGACATCTTAAATTTGTGCTCTTCTAGATGATACTGCACAAAAAAGCATTCTTCTCACAATAACAAACCCTTTTAAAGTTCTCTGGACCAAAACTGATATCTAAGATGCTCTGGCTTGATAAAGTAAACAATCAAATGAGGCCATTTCCCATAACATGTTGCTGTATTTGAATTTCTACGAACGAATTACAGTTTTTATAACGTAGTAAAATTTCCCCGCCTGAAGCTTGCCTCAGGATGCGCCTTGAGGTGTCCGACACGGCAATGGCACTACACATAAGAACGGACCTGGAATGCCACCACACAGCTATGACCTACAAGCCTCGTAAACATTACCCCTAATCAAAATGTTCTCATGTGATGATGTTTACAGTGGAAGACCATACACCTCTTTAACTTGAACTAAAAGGGAGAGGTTGAGGTAGATAACCTAGAAAGACAGCCTCACAATTCGTACAGCAGTTTTTCAGCCATCTGTTCGTCCACTCTACGAAACGTCCTGGCTGCCTCGTTGCGCCTCTCCTCCATGCCAGCTTTGTCGCACAGCAATGCCAGCCAATAGGCAGACTCCCTGATGCCTCGCTTCGACTCTACCGTCTCGTAGCACTTCAAAGCAGACGAGGCCAGATGCACAGCGCTCTCCAGTCCCCCATGTCCCTCGCTCTTGAACCGGCACTTGGCCAGGAGCAGGTATAGCTGTCCGACATCCACCAGGCCCCCTTGTGACAGCACTACTGTAACCACTTCTTCCAGTAAAGTGCACGCATGCCCCGGAAGCCCCACCTCAAACTGAACCCCCGCCATCAGGACCACTAAGCTGGCCCGCAGGTAGGACAGATGGTGCTTCTCCGCTAGGGTGAGGCCCTCACACAGGACTGGGATAGCAAGCACGGGCTGGGACGACTAAATTAGAATCTCTGCCTTGAGAAGGTAACACCTCCCTTTAAAGTGGGGAAGGCTGCCCTCAAAATTGCTCGTGTTGTCTCCGTCACCCGTCCCCTTAATGTCCTCAATTGCAAGAACCGTGTCGACAAGGTCCAGGGCTTCGTTGAGGTGTCCCTGCCAGAGAAGGAGTTTGACCTTGCAGAGGTCCCCTTCGAAGCGGTTCAGTATCCGTATTCCGGATGCTAGCCCCTCAGCTCTAGGCCAAAGGGTCTTGTGGAGTGCTTCGTGAAAGCTGCACTCGAGGCGGCACAGAGTGACCAGGTTCTGGCATGCTGAGTAGGCCGGGAAGAGCGTTGAGGCCAAGTCTAGGAGGCTGGTTGAGTCGTTATATCGCCCGTGAAGGTCAACGCCCAAGCGAGACTGCGCAAGGCCAGACAGGCAGGTTCCCCCATTGGAACGACGCCGGCCGTGCGTAGCTGATCGGCCCTTCCTAGCTGCAACAGCAACTGCGCCTGGAGATTAGCCATTCGCTGAAACCCGTACAATGTCCAGAGGGCAGCCTTCTGTGACGTAACTGTACCAATGCCGGTATCTCCCTGTGGATGCTGGAAGTTGAGCACTTCACTCCTGGACAAGAGCTCGAGGGCGGCTGCCGGTGGCGAGCCCGCTTCGGCGCCGACTCTTGTAAGCGCCTGGATGCCTAGTGAGGCAATGCCGCACAGGCCTAATTCAGAGGCCCTGGTGACCGAGCACCGCAGTTGGGCCTCCGGACAGCGGGCCCCGTCCAGGCGGCAGTGCCAGGCGAGCGCGTGTTGTAAGAACACTACGTCGTTGGCGTCCTGCGCGAGGGTCACAGCTTCGCGCAGGGCGGCCCGGGCCTCGGCGTCGTGGCCCATCTTAGCGTGAAGCATGGCGAGGTGGAGGGACGCGTAGCGAAGATTACGGCCACTGTCTTCGGAGGATGCCGCCGTCGCCATCGGACCAGGCTTGGAGCTCGCGTCCGGAGCACTGGTGCGGTCGAAGTGCTGCCGCAAGCTCTCCACGGCGCCAAAGTACTCCTTTACCGAGAGGCAGTTGAGAAAGGACACGTAGTGCGCTTCTGTGAGGGCAGGGTTCCCGCCGACGAGCTCGCGGAGCTTTTGTTGGAGCTGAGGCGGCGGCAGGGCCGCCTTCTCGTTGACTTGCATCAGCGTGACCTGCTGAGCGAGGAACAGATCCGCCTGCCGCTGCGTCGCCTTCGAATCTCCGTTCCCCTCGGCGTCGTAATACGACCTAAAGCTCTGGTGCAGCTTCACCAAACCGCTGAAGTTGAGCTTGTCAAGTGCCAGAAGCATCCGACGAACGAACAGACCAAGGACGCTGCTCTTGTGCAGAACGGCGGGCGTCGCGGTGGGGTCCGCGAGGAGGTTGTCCAGATTCGGGATGTAGTCCATGATACCCGCTACCCCGGCGTCGTAGATGGTCCTCAGGCTGACGGTAAAGAGCCGCATGGTGTTTGGGTGCAGGACGCCGTCGAGGCAGCTCAGCAGCTCGCCCAGACTCATGTCTGGGCTCTGGAGCAGCTTGAGAGCGGTGATGGCGAAGTCCCGACACTGCTTGGTCGTGTGCGTCCACAATTCCTGGTCGGGCTTGAGGTGCCGCTCGGTCTTGACACGGCAGTACTCCGAGACGAGGACCAGCAGCGCGAGCTTGTGCCCCGTCACTTGATCTCGGGAGGAGACCTTGGACGGCAGGAGTGCCCACAGACCCCCTTCCTGGTTCATGGGTGACGTTGGTGGTCCCTCGCAAGCAGCAATCCCGCTGAGACGAAGTCCTTGCGCGCGTCGTCCGACGACTTTACCGGTTACAAAAGTGCGACGTGATCGATCGTATTATGCGCCATTTTAACGTGCTGGGTTAATGAATGGATAAATAAAAAGAAACTCTTTCTTTAAGGTAACGTGGTGACTTGCGCCATCTAGCTTGTACTGTATTATTCATAAACTTCTAGAAGGGTAGTTGTTACTTAAAAGCTTTTAAACTAGTAAAGACAAATTTAATTTCATTTTGTTAAACCCAACTTAACACGGTGTAAAGATAAGACATTGGTAAGTTTTCGAAACTTCAGTCCAAAATTTGAGCTTCACCAACTCTTGACTTTTCGAACACACCACACAAATTCCAGTGACGTCGAACTATAAAACGTTCGTCGAAAGGGGTGAATAACAGAACGCAGTCTGCGTGGACGCGCACGCGCGTCCAAAGAAAACAAAACAAGCATGAAGTTGGTGGCGTTGTTTTCGGGTATCGCTGCGATACGAACGTGACATTTTCTATCTTCCATCCTGTTGACAACCTACGAACAAGGTAGGAGGTCTCCTCACCTCTCTTTCTAGGCTTCGTAGATGGTTTGTCCGCATGGTAAACACGACAAGTCGGCTCTTGGAAGTTGGTCGCTTGCGATCTTCGCATAGTTTGCGCAACTCACGGAACATCGGTGCGTCATTTGTAAAGTTACCGGACTACCTTACGCGTATTTCATAGTGAAATCAGCCTTCTGATTATCTCGCTTAAGATCGTAACCAGGGTCTGACGGTTGCTCTAAAGAACGTACTTGGCATTTGAAGTAGTTCGCGGCTAAAACATCTTAAGAAAAAAGAAGAAAAAAAAAAATTAAACTGCACGAAATTAAAAAAAAAAATATTGCGAAGTGGCAAAAATCGTATGAAAAAATAAACTTTCTTTTTGTTTGTTTTGGTGTAAGAAACTAAGGGGAAAAGTGGCATATGCTTTATTTTGAGACTCAATTCTGTTACGTCACGGCGCGATGGTGGCGCGTCGAGTGCACTTCCGGTCTGGGCCTGTGGGCCGAAGTCACCATGCATAACGTGCATTCCTGCATTGTTTATGAACGAAACCAGACAAAATTCTGCCTTCTCGTCAAAACGCCGCATCTGGGGCTGCACCCAGGAACGGATGCAGGAATTTCCTGAGGGGGGGTCAGGTGTTGGTCAGCGTACCCTATGTTTAGGAACCCCCTCCCCCTCTTCTTTGTTTTACGCCCTAAATTTTACACATGTAAAAATCAAGAGGGGGGTCAGGACATCCGGACCCCCCCTCTAAATCCGCCCCTGGCTGCACCAAAAGAGTCGAGAAAGGTTCGAAGGTCAGTTTTCATGTGCTCAATCTGTCTGAGAACGTGGATCTATGCCGTGAAAGGGGAAAACCAGGCGCCTTCGGACCACGATTGCTTAGGCGGGAAGCACTTTAAGTTGATTTCACAAATACTTGTGTTCATGAGATTTATTTGTTTTGTTCCAACATAAACGTGGGAGAACCGTCAAGTTGTACGGACCGCCTTCAAGTTGAAACGGCAACCTGGTCGTTTGAACTGTCGTCTGCTCTTTCAAACGTTTCTGTCGTCTGCTCTTCCGGACGACACCGGCCCATAGATTTAACGTTGGCCCTGTAATTGCGATAAGAAGTAAGTGCTGGCCTCAAAAGATATAAGTTTGAAGGTTGGTTGGGGTAAGCAGGCTCGGTGTAAACAGTCGATACAAGATGTTGGTCATTGTTACCAGTGGCCATCATCGACTTGTTATTCCTGATTCACTTGGTCCCATTTTGCTTGCGATTTTCAGTATCGACGTCAACCATCTCAGCTACGGTTCACCTTTACACTGTCCAAGCGACTTCGTGATTGAAAATTGCTTGTGGAATCTCATCATGCGAATCAGTCTTTAGCATCCATTCTGCAACTTCCACGTGGAGTGAATCACCGCATGTCAAAGTATTCACGCGAAGTTTTGCATTGTAACGAGCCTTGTTAATTTCGCTGAGGCTGCTCAAGTAGTTAGATGTTTCCAGGAAAACATAGAATCAACAATTCTAATGCAGAAAAGAGCACGGGGACTCATACTGACGCCGAAAACATTGCATATTTTAATGGTTTGTTTATGGGTAACGGCGAGCTTCTTGCCCACACTCCATCCCGCATGCACGGTGCCGGTGGCATCCGCTAGGGGTGCTCCGGTTTGTTTGTAAACATGAGTTGGTCTATACACGGAGCTTGCTGTCCTTTATTGTCTTGGCTTATATTTGGAAAAGGATCCGAGTGAGGCAAATGTAAAACTTCTATGTCTCTCCGATTAATACACTGAGATGCTGTGTACAAAAGCTCCATATTTTCAGAATCCTAATGAACTGTGCACACGTTTGTGAATCTGTTTGGACCATTTTTGTGTGATGGGTGCCATGTTGAAATATGACATAGTTGGTGCGACAGAAACTAAGTTTAAGGATAACTACAATAAAAGAGTATAGCCAAGAAAAAAAGTCGGGACTGTACATGGCTTGCACATGACGTCATCCAAAGAGCACTCCGATGGCCATCAGAGAAGAGGGGAAAAAGATCTCTCTCACCAGGATTCTCTTTTGTGTCTCCCAGATTTTCCAAGAAGATTATAAAAGATTAAGTCATCACTCGAAATTTTTCCTAAAGCTCCTAAAGCAGCTTCGCTTCCTCTGTCGGTTATGGTGGCCAAAAGTATGCAATGTGATGTTGGTGCGAGCCATGTATAGGCCCAAACCCCTTGAATGTTCGCACCTTCCAGTCGGCAAATAAAGTAATTTGCTATTTGCCCCAATTTGGCTACAACAAATTTCAACGTGGCGGCTGCCACAAAAAAAACAGTCTAGACCTTTTCACCCTTCGTCGCATGGGCGCTGCCATCTTGGAATCGCGTGACGCGGTTGTCATAAGGTGGCTTCAAATCGTCGCTTCTCTCTCCCCTCCGCACCCCGGCAAAGGCGTTGTATTTGTGTTTTTTGTCACGCTTTACAGCATTTTTTTACAGCAGAGCTGTTAAGGGCTAGTTTCCCCGTGGTCGACAGAACACTGGTTGTTGCCGTCGCTCATAGATGGCGGTAGCTGTCCAGAGTGTTGTGCTTACCGGTTGTCTGCTTGCTGCCGTCGCTCATAAATCGCGGCAACCTTTCCAGCCTTGGCAACCAGACAACTGGTTGCTGCCGTCGCTCATAGATGGCGGCAACATTTCTTCAGAGGAAAAAGAGTGGGAACAGAACAAGCGGCGATGTGCGCAGCAGCGTGAATAGTTCCGCAACTGCCGTGAGGCTGCTATTGCCTAAAGTTCCACTGCGTCGAGCGCTTCAGATTTTCTTGCGAAAGAAGAACAGATCGCTTGCCTGGAAAGTTATCGCTGAGAACAGAACCTACAGCTCTGCTGCTCTTCCTCCTTCACCAGAGTGGAAAGGCTGAAAGTTTTTTTGCCTTGCTTTGTGGTCATCTGGTACTTATTTTTACTGCCTAACTGCATGCCATCAATAGGTGCACAACTTGTGCACTTGATTTCATTGCACGTTTTGACTATTTGCACCTTCGGGGTACCGGACTGTAAGACACACGAGGGTTGAGAGGTCAATTATTTATGACAGCTCAAATTTGCTTAAGAAGCATTGGCACAATAAGAAGTGCAAGGTATATTTATGATCATGCATTTATGATCTTAAAGAAGGCAAATGTAGTCAACGCAACATTTCACTATGTGTGTTTCTTAAAAGCATCAAAATGCATCCAAAGCAGGTGTTTTTGATTAAATGGGAGGGAATCATTTTTGCGGTATAAACATTCGCTTGATCTGTTTATTTATGAATTTAAAGAAACTAGAGACTGCTCGGTCTCATGTCTGCTGTCATTCAATTTTCTTAAGATATCCAATTAAAAAATTTATTTTGACAAAGAGGTTTGAACTTTTCAAGTGAAAAACATGTCAGAAACAGCATCTGAGTGCCTGACAAAAGCACCCGAGGTACGCAAGATGTGATGAAAAAGAAGCCGTCTGCATAAAAATCACTTGAGCGTTGTCAATGCTCGATTTGCTCTGGACACTGCTGAAACTAGTAAAAAGCATGTTCGAACAAATACAGATCTGTATACACGAATCTATGAGGTGGTGCCTGGCATTTGACTTGAGCCAAGCTTGCTGGAGGTCAATTCTCTTGTGCCAAATAATTTTATTCCAATATTTATACTGAAGACAGACGTCAGGCTTCAGCCGACAGGTTTCTCCCTTATCTTATTTACTCAATATGTTGTAGCCAAATGTCTGTATAACAAGTGGTTTCCTTAGATCAACATTGTTTAATGCTGCTAGTGAATTCTTTAGCACAGTTGATAGTTGAAAAAGTGTCCTACTTGGCCTAGGAAGCACTATTAAAACATCTCTCGTGTACTTAATTTCTTTAAAGATACCAATGAAAACAATATCTGTTTTTTTTTTTTGCATTCTATGCATTATTACAAGGGGGTTTCCCGGTGGGCAATTTTTATGAACACGTGTCCTCGAAAACCAAACAGTGAGCGCTAAACTTGCAAGCTCATCTGTCCTGTGCGATTCGTTGCATTGTTAGTCAGGCCATCGACCTGCTTTTTCACTGCCCCCATGCAAGGCTCTTCACTAGTTTATTTTGAGGGAAACTACATCCAGTACGTCCGTAGACATCACTAGCGCTCCCCCGGCACCATTTCAGTCGTTTCGCCACCTAACCTGGCGAAACGAGGAACATGATCAGAGGAAACTGTTTGTTAAAACGTCTGCAATTTAGGCTCGTAACTACGTCGTAGTTCTCAAGGTGGCCCATTACCACTGTATCATCGGTTCTCTACCAGAAGGGGTACATTTATATTACAAAGCTAAACGAAAATGACATAACTCACCAACACAGCCGCAAACCCGAAACCAACCAAATTGAAGCCACCTTATGG